CGTCCCTCCCTCCCCCTCCCGGCGGCAGGCGCCGCCGCCCGTCGCGGCCTGCAGCTCGGACTCCGAGCCGTCCTCGCCTCCTTCTCCGAGGCGGGGAAGGGCCTCGCGTAGCCAGGCCGCCGCGGAAGACGTTGTGATGCTGAGCAGTGACAGCGAGAGCGACGTAGAGCTCGTCCCGCTGTCGGAGAGGCTAAAGAGGAAACCGCGCCCCAGCGGGCTCTGCGCAACGGGGGTTGTGCCTGTCGAGGCCCCCCAGCTGGGCAGCAGGGATACTGCAAGCCCAGCTGGGGGAACTGGGCTCTGCCAGAGCGCTGGCCAGTTGGCTCCTGGCAGCAGAGGACAGCATCTTCCAGAGTCCTCTGAGGTCCCGAGAGCCCTGGCACCGTCCGGAGAAATGTTTTATAGGAGCCCAAATGATGACGTGCGCGGTTCTGGCAGACCACCTTTGTGCCCGCTGGCAGACTGCTTGTCTGATTCCGCAGCCCAAAGTAGCAGGTTGTTGGGAAAAGAAGCAAGTCTGGAAACATCTCCTCCTCCAAAGAAGTCAAAATATAGTCAGAAGGAAAGGGAGACAGTCTCTCAGGCTGCATGGCAGAGGAGGAAGGAGCGCGAAGCACGGAAGAGGCAGCAGGAGCAGGAAAAAGAGAGGAGGAAGGCCCTTGCCAAGACGTTGAAAGCTCAGCGTCCTGGGGAGTGCCAGAAATACATAACAGTGGTGCTAGACCCAGGTACTTTTCCCCACATCCTGCATCTGCCTTATATGAATTATCAACTCTTGCTATGGAAGCCTGACCCATGCACCAATTTCAGTTCTCTTACAGGTAGAAGGTGGTGGACAGGTCCTCAGTTCTTTGCAGTCTGGGAATTATTCCTGTGTGATTGAGAGTCAGACTGTTCCCTGCAGCATCACTTGGCGGAGAAGGGCTGTGTCATCTCAGGTGTGGGAGCAAAATCTTGATGTTCTTGCCTTTTTCTTTGTCTCCTATTTGAACTAGATAGTAGTAGTTATAAGCAACCCAAGTAACTGCCTTCCAAACTTTTTCCTATCTTAGAGCTCTGAGTGAGAGCACCAGTCTGAGTGAGCTGAATTATAGACAGACGATTGGTCTGTTTTTTTTGTTTTCATATCTGGGCAGATTCAAGAAGAAAGTGGATGGACGGAAGAACCGAATGTCCTGGTTCTGCTTCGCTTGGAGGAGTTTTTGTTCATGGTTCACAACTACAAACAAGTGAGACTGCTTATGACTTTTTCATACTCTCAGAATATGTCTTGCTGAAAGGGTGGTATTTGTCGTCTCTTTTCACGGCAGTAAGGTTTTAACGTGGGAAGGAAGTTATGGTTCCAGTAAAGTATAAATCTGATTTTAGAAGCCGTTACTGGATCAAAACCAGCAAGGCTGTATGATGCAAAGCTCTTACCTGGTACAAACCTTCTCCGCTAATTACAATTTTTCATAGATTTTTTGAAGAGGAAATGTTGTCCTAATAGATATTGAAAGATCAAGGATGGTCTTTGCTGCTATAGCTTTACACTGGATCAGGCGTTATCTGTTTGCTTACAGCCGCTAAATAGCCAATATAAACAGTGCTTTGTGTACTTTTGTTAATGAGACAGGTATACATTTTTGTGCTCATGCCTGTTCTCAAATTAAATATGTATTTCAAGAATATCAGACAGTACACAGATCTGATACTGGTAAGGGTGGAATCCAGACCTCAGTAGAAAGAGAAAAATCCTGATTCAAAACTCTATGAATATCCAGCACTGAGATATTGAATTGACATGATTAGACTCTCCTTTTCTGCTATGTTGGAAGGAGGCTTGAGACATACGCAAGCTTCTTTGCTTAATCGGCCAGCTGGGTGTCCCTCCAGAATAGGAAACTAAACCTTAGTCCTGTGGGATAGACCTTTTCTTCTACAAAGATCCAGTTGCACAATTGGGTCCATAGGTTGTTCTATCCTAAAGCTAGGACAGAAGGCCTATATAGGCTGGCCTATATAACTCAGAATTTTTTAACCCCCCCCCTCCCCCCCG